ATTTTTGACAACAACCCGGATGAAAACATTCAGTGCTGAACTGCTGAGAAAAAGTGGTTGCAGCTGTGTTGCACAAGCCACAACAGCAGTATTACACTGTCCTGCTAAATTAATGGGAATAGAGGGAACATTACAGTGTTGGGCAATAGTACCTACTGTAACAAGTGATGGCATTGAAAATGGAAGGCAGAGCCTTCAGTATTATTTAGTTCAGGGTCCAGCAGCTTTGTAAGCATTTCTTTATTTCTCATTTCAAAATTAGAGGTTAAGCTAGACACTAGGAAATGTTGTAGCTCACAACAGTGAATGCAAATTGATATTATGTGGAGATGAGTTCTTGCTTTAATGTCAGTTTGTGATCACCTGAGTTGAGGCTGGTACCTCCTGCAAATTTCTCTGTTGGGACCTCATAGCTCACAGACCTTCACTGGTGATGTCTGGTGCATCCCCATTCTCCCTCCACCTGTTGGGCACATCTATTCTGACACAGCTGAATGCTAGCTTTCTGCTTCAGATGTCTCAGCAGCTTTTAGTTAAATAGCACCCCTTGCTGCTATTCTGATTACATAATAAAAAAGAATATATGGGTTTGCATTGGGTTTGTGTGGCAAGGTTTTGGTAGTGTGGGGGCTACAGAGGTGGTTTCTGTGAGAAGCTGCCAGAAGCTTCCCCTGTGTCTGACAGAGCCAAGACCAGCCGGCTCCAAGATGGACCCACTGCTGGCTGAGGCCGAGCCCATGAGAGATGGTGGTGGCACCTCTGTGATAACATATTTAAGAAGGCAAGAAATAAAATCCACAGCAATTGCAGCCAGAGAGAGGAGTGAGAACATGTGAAAGAAACACCCTTGCAGTCCCCAAGGTCAGTGAGGAAGGGGGGCAGGAGGTGCTCCAGGCACAGAGCAGAGGTTCCCCTGCAGCCCGTGGTGAGGCAGCTGTGCCCTGCACCCATGGAGCTCCATGGGGGAGCAGAGACCCACCTGCAGCCCGGGGGGGACCCCACGCCGGAGCAGGGGGATGCCCCAAGGAGGCTGTGACCCCGTGGGAAGCCCACGCTGGAGCAGGCTCCTGGCAGGACCTGTGGCCCTGTGGAGAGAGGAGCCCACGCTGGAGCAGGTTTGCTGGCAGGACTTGTGACCCCGTGGGGTCCCACGCTGGAGCAGTTCATGAAGAACCGCAGCTGTGGGAAGGACTCACGTTGGAGAAGTTCATGCAAGACTGTCTCCTGTGGGAGGGACCACACACTGGAGAAGGGTGTGAGGAGTTCACCCCCTGAGGAGGAAGGAGCACCAGGGACAACGGGTGATAAACTGGCCACAACCCCCATTCCTAATCGCTCTGGCCACTGGCAGGGAGGAAGTAGAGAAATTGGGACTGAAGTTGATCCTGGTAAGGGGGAAGGTGTTCAAAGATTTAGTTTTTAATTTCTCATTATTCTACTCTGATTTGATTGGTAATAAATGAAAATAATTTTCCCAAAGTCAAGTCTGTTTTAACTGTGATGGTAATTGGTGAGTGATCTCTCCCTGTACCTATCCTGAGTCACAAGACTTTAGTTCTATTTTCTCTCCTCTGTCCAGCTGAGGAGGAGAGTGATAGAGTGAGTGGCTTTGGTGGGCACCTGGCATCCAGTAAGGGTCAACCCACCACAGGACTATTACTGTAAGCTGTACCCCTGTCTTCCAACATACCTGAAAAAGACAATTGCCATATAAACTGTAGTGCCGAATGTCTTTTAATTCCTCATTTACTCTGGAAACTCGCTTCTGCAGTTTTTCAAAACTGATTCACAACAGATGTAACGATTAAAAACTCCACTGCAACTAGTTTTTATCACCCACACTCTGTAAACCCAAAACCTTCTTCCTCTCCTCACACCATGACCTCTTGTTTTTCCAACCTGACTTGAAACTGAAAACCCTGCTTGAGCCACGTTCGCTTTAACACATGCCCTCCCTTCAAATGAAGGCAGTTTCTCTGACGGCTGCAGGGCTGCAGACTCCTTTGGAAGCAGGGTTTCTGTCAGCCCAGAAGCATGCTATAGACAATACAAACAGCAGTGACACCACAGAGAAAGCGAGATCAAAAAATATCTAATGAAAACAGTCAAACCAATGAAATGTCCTGATAATTCTACATTCCCAAAAGAGCCAACTGTACAGCAAAATTTAATTTGTTAAAGATAGGCACTCTCCAGGCTCAGACATACAGTTCCCAGCCAGAAGTATCTGTCAGACCATCTGGTTAGATCTCTGGGATAGCCAAGGCTCTTCCATTTCCTGACCGCTGAGCTCAAGTGCTTCCTATCACTTAAAACATGGCTTGTGTTTGACTAAAGCCTGATCTTGCATGAAGCATTTAAGCTGGGCTCAGAGACACCAAGAAATGAATACTTCAGTCTCCTCCTTTGCAGTTCATGCCTGAAGATAATCATTCCACTGACAGAAAACTGCACGTTATTTCTGTTCGAGGATGTCTTCAGTTTTAGTTAATGCCAGATTAAAGAGACTGTTTATATCCTGCTTTTTCTCCCTCAAAAATAAGCAAGCTGCAACTAAGTGACCACTAACTTCTTTCCAATTAATTTAACAGATTATTCTCTAAAAGACTGGATTTGAAGTATTTGCACAAGTGGGTTTTTTTTGGTGTTTGGGGTTTTTTTTTGGTTTGTTTGTTTGTGGTTTTTTGTTTTTGTTTTTTTTTTTCTTGCAAGGTTGTTTTCCAGTGTCCTGCATTGCTTTTCCTCAGACATCAAAATCTGCATAGTGGCAAGTACTTACAACACAGGTTGCAGGGCGGATGTCTTCATATGTCAAGACATTAATGTCATTTTTCCAGGCTTTCAGACATGATCTATCTTCAAGAACCTGGAGGAGTAGAAAACTTTGGGACCAACTCAGGGAGTTTCTGTCACAGCTAAGGAGCTATGTGACAGACATGTGGGAAACACTAGCGCACGAAATGTAACACGGAATTGTCAGGTCAGTCCCGCAATGGAAAGGCAGACTGAAATATAAACATTTTTCCCTCCATAACCATCTAGTAAGACTTTGATTTCCAAATAAAAATGGGGGAAAGTGAATGGTCCTCTCTATCAAGTAATGTTTTGAAGAAGGAAGATTTCTTTTTTATACACGATTCTTGGCAAATCCCTCTTCGCTGTAATCAGAGTTAGTCCTGCAAATGCAATGTTACTCTCTCAAGTGACTCACTGAGTGCCTGTGTCAGGTTGAATAACAGGATATGAATACTTTTAAGATGACATACAAAGCCCCGCTTAAATAATACAAAAACTTTCTTCTATTTAGATGTAAACATTACCTTATCAATTATAATTTAAACCAAGTTATTAGCTGAATGCACTGAAAGTGTAAACTGGGTCTCATCATTGCACAGGAGTAAATAGCCACCAGAAACAGGCAGAAATGACATGGAAATGGAGAATTTTGTTTACCTCCCTCCACTGCAAATTCATCCATTCCTCTACAAGCATGATACTAACTGTGGCTAAGATTTATTACATTTCCAGTGGAGTATGTTCTATCAAGCAAGTCCAAACTCTTCTTTAGTGTGACCAATCTTTCCTGCTCAGTCTGAGACCTGACCCATTCATGAGTGCATCTTAGGATGTAAACTTAACTTCTCGTAAAGGCACAATGACCATCAGAGCCAGCCTAAGGCAGATATCGGTGAGAAGGACCAGGAAAAGGCAGAGGTCTGCTGCTGCCTGTTCCCATGTGTGGTGCAGACATCCCCCGACCTGTGATCTTTTGTAATTCCAGAAATATTGTACATCCATTTGGTGAATGCTATTAAGGAACATCACATCCCTGTGATTTGAAGAAAGTAATAAGGTCCTAAACAATCCAAATATAAGTGGCAGAGATAATCATGGGGCTTTATGCTAAAACCAGCTCCCCAGAGCACTGGCTATAAGGCTGTCACAGCTCTGTGTTGTAGACCCATTTGCTTATCAAGTTCCCTAAGGCTTTCCTGTCCCTTCAAAGTGAGGACTGCTTGCAGAGCCCATCAAGGAGAAAGGATATTCTCCTGAAATTACCATAGCTCCAAATTTTGGCACAGCTTTGGGAATCTGATCAGCACCTCCTGGTTTCAATAGAGCTTACACAACAGCTCCCACACTTGTCAACTTTTAGTTTTCATCATCAAACAGACTGGCATTACAATGAGCATCTGCTCAGAGCTACACTGGTGTGAAGTAGGAACTCTACTTGGGTTTTCTGGGTTTTTTTTTTTCTTTTTTTTTTTTTTTTTTGGCTTTAATTTTACTATACTAAATTAACTATATGAGCTTTTTAGATCACATCCTGATTATAAAAGCAAAGGGCAAACCTTAATAAATCCCTTTGACTTCTATAGTCATATCTGCAGTCCTATATTTCTGAGTGACTAGTCAGGTTGTTTAACAGGCTAGTATCTCTGTTTCCTCATCTCAGACACTGAGATGAGAGAGGATCTGAGGCTCCTGCCTCTGCACCTTGTACAACTGATGTGAAAATGTGCTTCATAGACAGGCTTTCACTCCATATTCTTCATTGCTTCAATTATTCGCAGAGATGTTTTGGGGTACAGAGCAATGAACAAAGCAAACCTTGCATTTCTGTTCAGGCTCAGTAAGTGTGGGGGGAAAAAAAAAAAAAAAAAAAAAGTTTTGTGCCTCTCTGTCTGTCTGAAAAAACTAGCAAAACTACATAAAGCAAACGGTTGGGGACTGAACAGTACTGGATAAATAAATTAGGAAGAAAAAGAGAAGATAAACCCTTTTAGTATAAGTAATGTAAACCAGGTTATTTTGTTCATTTCTTATATCTGCTAAAACCATCCCTGATGCAATATATTGAAAACCTCCCTGTTTTCCTCAGCCATAGATAAGAAGTGTCTTGAGTAGTGACTTGCAACAGGAACCTCATCTGTTGCAAACACTTTGAGCCTTCCTTATTTCTCAGAGAGGAAGTATGTGGCCTGTTTGGCAAATGCTGCTCTACATGACAGCGTGAACTTCACAACACACTCATTCGACCGGCTGCTCCTCGACTTGATCAGCTAAACCTTGCTGGCAGCATGAGAGCAGTATTATGACTACGGCTTTTTTGAGAAATACTGCAACCTGGAATATCATGCCTAGAATTTAAAGGTAATCATTGCTCTGATACATTTTAGATTATCTGCATATGGGACCAAATGTTTCAAATTTATTTATATAAAAGGCAGTTCTGTTTCATTAACAATGACGATATTCAGATGATGGATTTCAAGTACCACCAAAGGTAGAAATACAAAAGCCTGCCTTGATCCTTTTCATAAGGAGTGGTGATAAAGATAGAAGGGACAAGGAGTATTTCTACTGAAAGCTCACAGTAAGATGCATAGGACCTTAGGCTGAAGCAAACTGCATTTCTTTATAACCCAAAATATGAGCCCAAGATTCTTGGGCTTTTTATTCAAAGTAATAGAAGTTTGCATAATGTGGTATTTCTCTGTTGTTTCATAGTTGCATGTTTTTGTGAATTACCTTGATTACAGCATTACGTTGTTCTTTCTAAGCACAATGGTAGAAATGCCTCAAAGCTGAAAGGATGCTCATTTTGATTAATAACAAATTAAAGCAAAATTCACCGAAAAATATAGAGCTTCTGAAATCTAAGCTGCTTTTTTTTTCCCACATGAAAAATAACAGAATGCTGGTGCTTTCATTTTCAAGCTAAATGGTACTCAGACATTACCTGTGAACCTTATTAAGAATTCAATTCTAAGACATCAGTGGTATAGATGTGAATATCAGGTAACAAAAATAAAATTGGATATAACATCTCAGGAATTATGTATGTCCTAATTTGACTAGTCTGCAGTAGCCCCTTGAAGAGGAGTTTTACTCATGTATATCTTGCCTTTTTATTTCTCTTATTATTTTAATTTCTTTATATTTACTAATTCCCAATCCTTTTAGATATAACTTTGAAAAAGTTCTTACGAAGCAATTGACTTTCCTATGTGCTGTGCTATTTAACTGCTCAGAAGCATGTTTTCTCAGAGAACCGATTCTGTGAAAGGAAATTATTGCTACATGTGATGCATGCAGGAATGGAAGGTGTAAATTGTACCAAAGGTTTTTGAGACCCACAATTTAGGTCAGTGAGATTCCAGTCTTGACAGGTGAAGAGTTCATATCTGCCGAGAGCTCTGCCACTGATAAAAAGGATGCAAAGCAAGACCGGGGCTGTAGATGTTTTCTCACCTTACTTTTGGCAGCAAAAATAAAGCGGTAAAGATCACTAAACCCCACTAGCTGTGTGTTTGCAAACAGCTATGGCTGCAGTGACTGGCATTCCTTAAACAACATGGGCACAAGTGGAAAGGGGAGGAAGGACCAAAGCTTGGAAGACTGCAGATGTGTTCTTAATGGTTAAAATCAAATTTCCACACAAGCCTGAGGAGGTGGCCTGTGAGCAGGGAAAGCTGCAGGTAGGTTTTGGGTTGCATCCCAGCAGCACAGCGGTTCCTCCGCGTTGAACAGCAGCTGCACTCCTCCATGCAGGGCTTTGGGTTGATATGACAAGGTGAGCTTAAAGTCTATCACCTCTCCTTAATTCTTCCCAGATCACTTTTGGTGAACAATTTTCTTCTGGCATAATTATCTGCTTTTACGACAGAGGGATGCCACCTCTACTTGTATCCCAAACTCTGTCGCCAAGTTTAAGTGAGATGAGTAGATTCATCATTTCAAAAGAATAACATCTATAAAACTGTTATTGTTCTGTTATTGGCTTAAATGATTAAAAAATCAGCTCGGTCACAATACGCTCCACAGTTTCCTATAATTCTATTTTTACAGAGCATGTGAAAATTTCAGAAAACCACCATACAGTTTATCCTATAGCGATACAATGGCCTTGTGTTGCACTGCCAACACTCGACACAAGCACAAGCTACTTGAGCCGTTATGTTCTATCACACGCTTGCCAGTCATGTGCACTGTTGTTTTAGAAGTACTTAGGATACTAATTCATACACTGTTACTCTAAAAACAGTGATACACCATTGCCAGCGAGCAAGTTCAAACAATCTTTTGCCCCCCTTCCACAACTTCCAATTTCATCCATTTCCATCCCATTTTCAAATGTCTGAGAGTTGAACTATAGCTCAGGGCATCCACTCCACCACCTTTGACTGGACTATAGGCACCTTCATTCTGCTCAAATGAATAATGACAAGAGGCCTTAGTGGTAAAACCTAGCCTGATACTTGTCATTTTCCTTTTAATCACTTTGGATAAGTGAATCAACAGCAGTGGACACAGCTTTCCATTTGCTTATTTTTACTGAACATTTCTGCTATGAGTCTAGAGAACATCTTGAACTCTTTGACCTTTTCAAGACTTTATGCTGCCACCAACAGTAATTAGTGACGGTAAAACAGCATGGAAAACTGTAACGAGACACAGCAAACTGCCACGCTAGTGACATCAAAGTCCAAAACGTCACTGCTCTTCATTATTACTGTAAGTACTTTATAGCTCTTGCATATTTCATAAGTCAGATTCTTCCATATCTAACGTAGCAGCACTGAGCTGCATGCTCTGTCCTGTTGACTCCAGAGATCCTTTAAGAAGAACAATGAATTGTATGGCAGAAGTGAACCAAGCCACTCTTGGATGTGTTCTGCAGAAATATGAACTAGGCACATGCCTGCTGTCCAGTACTTAATCCATCTGGACTAGACAGCAAGTGGTTCAATTAAACACTACGTACAAGCAAATGTTCAAGAACACTTTAGATATTTTTAAAGAGATACTTAGAGTTTAGACACCTAAATAGCAGATAGGAAAATGAAGGTACCTTACTCAAATGTGCCGTACTTCTAGAAAGTTTGTAAGTATGAAGTAAAGTTTTCAGAAGTCTTTCCATCATGTGCAAATGCTACGTATCACTTTCCAAAGTGACTCAGGCACACCTGAAAATTGTATCCACTTTATGTTAAGAGTAGGAGAAAAGCCACTGAAAGCACTCTGTCACAATTCTGATCGCTAATAGGATGACTTGCTCTCCTGGCCCTCAAATACCAAGACCCAGAATAAAAGGGTACATAGAGGTAGGACTCTATTATTTTTATTTTTCCATACTTTTGTGACACATAATTCAAGTACCATTCTCATCTAAATAATATTTGCATGTGATAAAATTATAGACAGGCATAAGATATTTATTTTGCCGTGCTTGGCACCTATCTGGAATTGCACAAAATCTTTGGTAACTGCAGCTTACTTACTATACACTTGGCAAGATCTGAACTGCCTTTTTCAAGTACTGAAAAAATGCAGCTACTACAGCAAAGAGCTCAGCAGAGGTTATCTCTACAGGTATTTATCACACTTCTCTGGCTGACTTTTTCAGCTCCGTTGAGCCCTTTATTGTCATGCCCAGAAAATTTTGCTGGCTAATTTGAAGATGAGCCAGGAACGTCTATAATATCTGTAGCCAAAGTACTGACTGCACTATTCCTATGCATATACCTCTTATCCTTGGTAGGATACAACAGAAAAATGTTGAAGAAATTAAAATTGGGTCTTGTGAAAAAATATTCATAGTTAGTTCAGGAAATTATAATCTTGCAAGTAGACAGTGCCTGCCAAAATGAATTTTGATTTCAGTTTTAGAAATTCAGGTGCCTTTAAATGGAGAAAGATTTTGTGTTTTCTATCAAGACAGACCCTTTTATCCAGACATAAATACCCAGATCTTTTATTTAAATTTAAGGTTACTTTTTTATTCATCTTCTAGACTTCTTATATCAGGCAATGAAACAGCTTTTTGTTCTTGTGAAAGCAGCTTTCAGACACTTGACAGAAAGACACTGGCACAGCTGCATCCTACAGATGTGCCACAAGCTCTTTCCTGAGTGCAGACAGCAAAAGGGTAATGTGCCATTTGGCCAGTGAAATAGAGATTTCTAGCAAAGAGCCTTTGGAAAGAAGCACTAAGAAGCTTGAAAATTAGATGAGGTAGAGTCAAACTGTGCATTACCATCTGTTTTAGTACTGATCTACTTGTATTTGACAAGAGATGAATTCTCTTTCTTTTGAATGGCATTTTATTCTATAAGGTGTCTTCCTAAACTCTCTGTAAAATATCAAAAATTTATGGTATTAAGCAATATACTAAATTCTGCTAATCTTATTCCAAAAGACAATTGGTAATATAGCTTCACTAATTTCAGCAGTACTGCTTCTCAAGTTAGACACTGCTCCAGCTAACACCATTGGGCTCTAGCCTGTTGTAAGTAAAGAGCAGCATACCAAAGGCACTAATCATCTTTGAAATATTTAAGCTAGAAAAGACTAAAAGATGCAGAATACCCACACGATGCTGCTAGAGCTCCTGTTATCATTTTCACTGGAAAACTGGCAGAAATATATTTTAAAAAAAATAATTACCTATGAGCTAGTGGTGTTGAATTACTTTGCTTTAATGTACAATTTCAAACATAGATCTTATTCTTCTCTGCCTCTGAAAATATACCATAGTGTCAGACAAATTCCACATCCAAAGGGTTTTTCTCTGTCAGGGAGAATTAGAACAGGTGCAGTAAAAGCCATGAGATGGAACTGTCCTTCTCACAATATTTAGTTCCACAATTGTCTGATACTGTTTGAGATCAAGCATTTTGAGGTATGGTGTTACTTTAAAAAAAGAAAAGAAAAAAGAAAAAAGAAAAAAAGAGGAAAAACAACATTGCTCTTATTCATTAAGAGCACAACTGCACCAGAAAAAAAAAAAAAAACAAACACCGAACAATGTTCTTAGTGTTCATCAATAAACTGAAAACCAGATACGTCAATCTAATTAATTTCTTCGTAGCTTGAGATCTTCAAATGCTGAAAAGAACATTTTGTCTATGAAATGACTGTATGAGCATGGCTTTGCTGTGACTTCCTATTGTGCTGAGGTACTGGTAATGGAAACTTTTACTACTCTGCGTTCTTCTGAGCAACTTCCCTAGCTGTGGTTTTCTGCTATTCCCCTGATAAAAGCACCAAAGTGGTGAGAGTTTAGCAAGTATGTAAAACTCTCACATGAATTTGACACAAGAGTTCTCAAAAGCAAAACTGTATAAAATTGGAGACACCCAAACTAGGTCATTTCTCATCTGTTGGCACAGCAGGTGTTACTCTGATGTTTAATTTCAATGTCTCCTTTGATTTAGTTCTGAAAAGCTTTGACGGAATTAGAGAGCGCAATGGGAAATACTGTGAAAACGCCGAGAGCCTCTGAAGAAACAAGTGTGCCGAGCCAAACGGGTAAGCAGTCATTTAATTTCTTTCAAGAGAAAAAGATGTTTGAAATATATGGTACGTTCATCCATGTGTCTTCCTCCATCTGCCTGATGTAGTAAAGGCAGGTGAGTGTGTGACTGCTGTGGGAGGAGAGCATCCTTTAGACAGCGATTATTTTTAGGTACGTTCAGGCTCATTTTCCAAGAAGCACTTTAGTTAAAAACCCCAAATGTTAAAACTATTATTTGCTGGTGCTCCTTGAAAGATGTTCCTTGCAATTCAGAAAGCATTGAAGCACTGCTTCAGAAACCAGAATTACATATTTTGACATACTTGCATGTGTTACTTCATACAAATTTGTTCTTGAAATTTGGTTTTACTTCATTTAAGCTCAGAAACCTTGCTTGCACTGAACCTGAAGTTCACCATTAGACAGTTGCAGTAAAAATAGCACGCAGCCAACTTGTCACCGGGTTTATCAATAAAGGTTATACAGAAATACACATTTCACTGGCTAGGCTGCCAAAAGGGGATCTAACACATCTGCCTTGTGCTTCCACATGTGAAAAAATCAGGTTGCAAAGCCCCTCCCATAGGCTGGTAGAGGTCAGGCATCTGAGGGGAAAAGCAAGAGTGATTCAGTGGCCTGCTTCTCCCAAACTGCAAGCGAGTAGCTGGAGAGTCACTACAGCCTCAGCTCTCACGCCACAGAACAACAGACAGCTGGTACAAGAGCTGCGATAAATCACTTCCCAAAGGTGAGGAACAGAAAACAGTTCTGGGTTTTTGGTTTGGTTTGTGGGGTTTTTTTAGAGGGCGAAGGCATTAATCAAAATTTTGGAGTTTAGCATGAAAAATGGTCCGGTTGGGCTGCGCATTATTATAAGGGTAGGGAATCATCCTGTTTTCATTAGTGCTGTAAGGAAACCCCAGCCCTGCTTTCAGCATGGCCAAGAACTAGCTGATACAGGCAGTCATGTAGCCCTAGGTCCTAATAAAGCAGAGACCAAATACTGTTTTTTTTTTTTTTTTTTTTTGAGAAGTACCTTATGTTGAGATTTCCAACAACTGTTGTCACGAATACCATAGCCATCAAACCAGAGACATGCATGCACTTAGAGCAGGACCTTGCTGATGATCAGGGGAGGGAGAGGTCGCTTGCCATGTCTGTCACCAAGTTTGTATTGCTCCTGCACATGCTAAAAGTCAGGATTTAGCAGGGCTAAAGCCAATTGCATCCCTTCTGGTGATTTAAATAGAACATACGCCTAAAACATAACCCAAACAACATAGATAGGGGAAATTACCCATTTAGGAATTCAAGGCTAGATCTACTTGCACTCTCCTACATGTCTAGCACATCTAAAAAGGTGCTTTGTCAGATCCTGCCTGACCTTCTGCTGCCACATGGGGAGGGAACAAATCTCCCATAGCTTCAGTGGCGTTTGCCAAGGCCATAAGGATGTCTCAGACACTCACACAGCTGAAATTGCAGTGGATACTGTTTAAGCACTCAAAGGCAGCTTTTTGGCCACAAAAATGATCAGAGGGATGGAACACCTCTCCTACGAGGAAAGACTGAGAGTTAAGGTTGTTCAGCCTGGAGGAGAGAAGACTCGGGGGAGACTTTATTAAGGCTTTTCAATACTTAAGGGGGGCTTATAAGAAAGGTGGGGACAGACTTTTAGTACGGCCTGTAGCAGTAGGACAAGGAGGAATAGTTTTAAACTAAATTCAGACTAGATATAAGGAAGAAGTTTTTTTGTGATGAGGGTGGTGAAACACTGGAACAGGTTGCCCAGAAAGGTGGCAGATGCCCCATCCCTGAAAACATTCAAGGTCAAGTTGGACGGGGATCTGAGCAACCTGAGCTGAAGGTGTCCCTGCTCATTGCTGGGCGGTTGGAGTAGATGACCTTTAAAGGTCCCTTCCAACCCAAACTGTTCTATGATTTAACAGCCTGCCTAGCTCTTTGGATTTAACTCTTAGTCTGGATCAGACCAGCATATTTCATAATGGCTTAGATGTTGCTAATTAGAATTGTGAATACAAACATTAGTACTGTCATCCAAATCCAATGAAAACAGACTTTTGAAAAGGAACTTGGTACTAAAAACAAATATTTGGGTTAATCCAGTGAGTTTGTACCTATTTGTCTTCCTGAGCAGATCAAACTCCAAATCACATCAACAAAGACAGAAGATTTCCCCCAGGCCAGTTACAGACACCTTGATTTCAGTGAGGTGGAGGATCCAATTCACAGATTTACAACAGTCCAAATAGTTATTAGGAAAGGCAGGTTTTACACGGGCTCATTTGAGTGAGTCTGAATAAAATGAAGGACTGAAACAGAAGGGAAGGAGAGGAAAGAATATCCAAAAAGAAGGGGGAAGAAAACGGATAACTGCAGTCTGCAGACTTGATCTGCAGTGTGAATGTGTTCATCAGACCCCTATAAACCCTGCGCTGCCTGAGAGCTGCACTGAAAGCAAAACCTTGTGCTTCCCTCATCTCCAGTGCATCAGTCTTAGTCCTGAGAAAGGGAACAGTGCATATACTGCATTTCCCAAGAAGACATTCAGTCTCGAAAGATGACTGAACTCCACCTGGAAGCACACTGTATGGGCATCCCTGGCATAACAGCAGCAAGGGGTCATCAGGGATTGTGAGCCCTCCCCCTCCTCTTTCCTCCCTTGGCACACTGAATCAAGGGTTAATCCTGACTGAGCTGCACCTGCATAACTCTCAGTAACCAAGCTGGCTGGTTTAATTTGGGTACGCCAGAGCAAGCAACTCTGCAGCCACACCTTAGGGCTGCTGCACAGTCAGCCTCCCGGACACACATGAGTGCCCTCCTTTACCCTCTCTGGTATACAGCATGGCATAAAATCACAGTATTTCTGCTGGACAGGAAAGCTGGGATGATGCAGGGAGCTGAGCTCTGAGCAGCTCGTTCCCACTCCAGACAGGAACTGCACTGCTGCACAGCACAATGTTTTTTGAGGGTGATGAGCTGGATCTGGACGCGCTGCCTAAGCTCTTCCTTCTCTCTAATAGTGCTTGTAGTCCATTCACAATGAATAATTTGAAACATGCAATATTCAGTCTCACACTTTGCAAGACATCCAGGGATGCAGACATCTAAAACTAGCATGTATTTTATATTCATTTCCTACTCCTAAAAAAAAAACCCCAGAATTAACACCTGATTCAATGGAAATGACTGTACTTCGATCTTTCCACTCTAACTTTTGAACTGTTCCATTCCAGATGTAACCTACACTTGCACTGCGGAGGAGAGGTTATGTTAGAAAAACTCGGGCAAATCTTTATTCTTTTACAACTTAAAAGTGTGGGGAAATCATCAGATCAAATCATTAGAGCAATGTAAAATTCAGGTGTGGGGAAAGTGTAATTTGTTTAGTCCCTGTTTCGAGGCTTTTGTGTTTGAAAGGAGCGAGTATGGGTTCTGTGAAATGTAGAGTGTGGTGAGGTATATTACATGACCGAAAAACCCAGTGAGGTTTGATTTAAATACCAATTAAAATGAGACCTTGTTTGTGGAGTAGGAAGGTTGAAAGGTTTTGTACAAAAGTACTTTACTTTCACTCTAATTTAAGTACATGTAGTTTTACAGGTAATGTTTGCATGGATACGGCAGCTAACACTGATTAATTCCTTCCTTTTCAGAACTACAAATTAACATGCAAAACTGAAACGAAACTGAATATAAAGATGAAAGTGTAAGCAAAGTAACACAGATCTTGTTAGAGTAGAGAAAAAGTCACATACTCTGCAGTGCATAACGAAATGCAAACCAGTGGTACGCAAGGAAGGAGAGCAGAAAAGCACTTGTTTTTCACCCTTTCAGTATGGAAATAAAACATTTGTAAGTAAACAGCACAAGTTTAAAAAGCAAAAAAAAACCAAAAAACCAAACATTGTTAAAGGCAATGTCATTAAGCTAAAAAAAATGACATTCCATGTAGACCTGCTGTCTAACAATCCACAATAAGAAATTAGGCAATGGCACTTTATCCTCATTCTGCAGTTCTTAACAACAAGCCTTCTGGCATATATTTCTTGCAGTCCTGCGTAAAGATTTAGCTTTGTTGAAAAAAGACTCAGCACCAATACTTGTTAGCCTCCAGTACTAAGCAGTTTCATAGACAGAGAAGGTGTCAGTTTTTAATGCAGAACAGGGAAGCAATCAAAGGCGTCCTTAGCACAGAATTTCTTCAGTATGGTTGAACTAATTGTATAATAAGTTACAGTACACTAATCACAAAGGTACTGCGCTAGTCCTGTTTAATTCAGGGACACTAATCAACTAAGAAAACCATGATGACACTAATACTGAACACACTGTCAAACTAATCAATGTCTTTTCCAGACTCTACACACCTATGCATCCATAAGGATGCTCCCTAACTGTATCGTGGGGCTACTTCAGTGAGCAAAGGCTAGCAAGATTAAAAATGCTTACAGTCAATTTTAATATTAAGGCAAAATAACCCACTACTTTGCATAACACAAGTCCCTATAATGTAACAACAAACAGCTATTCAGAATCAACTGAAAAATCACTCGGTTTTACCTCCTTTAAACCACAGATGTGGAATATTTTCTTAACACTTATATTCACATTATCACTGCTGTAAAGATAACAAGTGTAAAATCTTTTGTTTCTAAAATATTTATTTTCAATAGACTTGCATGTTTCCTTCAGCCTTTTATTGTTTTCACTGTGAGCTATTTGTAAATCTGAGACGCAAAGGCTGAAAACATTAGAGCCAGTCTCAGCATTCATTCAGGATGCTCTTTCTCTAAATGACTGTCTTCCTTAAAGATGTTAAGGAATCTATATTAAACAAGAAAAATCTAACAATATGCAAAAGTTAATATCTCTCTGGGTAATTTCTTTCTCTCCTTCCCTGAATTCATTCCCATTTTTGCACATGTTGAGCTTCACAGAGTGGGCAAGTATGGAGATCAAACCACCTCTGCAAGCATACTACTAGATGGTAATACTAAGGAATGAGGCACTGATCCTCCTGGAGGCAGAGGGAAAACTTTGTCTCCCTGTATGCTGGTGGGGGGTACTGCGACACGCAGAGGGAAGGAGACCCCTCTTGCATGACCCCTCTTGCCAGGACTTCTGCCAAAGAGCTCAAAACACCCAGCATGACATATTTCTGAATCTCCCACCTGTCAGTATTTACTGGTCACCATGGATTCCTGCTGGATGAGGAGCTCTTGAACATTTGATAGTCACAGTCTTATGTAAAGTGCCTCTTCCATCCTCCAGAAACCCAGGAGACTCAGCACGTGTCCTACACAGTGATGCATGGCCCAGAGTCATCCCAACTGATGTAAAAAGGCTTCTTATCTCTTACTGACCTCAGTTCTGCAAACTACAGCTGTACAGTCATTTAATTGTAAACATCCACGTTGCTTCTCTTCTTTAACTGAAGATAAGGGCATCATGTGCTACCTCTAGTACAGTTTCCACACAAGGGGGAACAAAGTGGTCTGACTCTTCCTCAAGCTAATTTTAAAAAATGATGGGAAATGAGCAGTAATGGACACACTCTCATTGCCCTTGATCTAAACTAATTTCGTAGATTTGAAAAGTATCAGCATTAAATGATGGAACAATTCAATATGCATCTTCCTTTCCTTAAGTGTAACGCATCAGTTGGCTCAAAATTGTAGATGGAAGCATTTAGAGACAGTGACATTAATCAAACTGGGTTACTTCCTAATACTATAAATACTTACTAATTCTGCTAGTTTCAAACTGAATATGTCCTTTAAATATGGTAATTACTAGAAAAAGTAGTCTAAATTTAGTTGCTTATAATTAACCAAATTACTTTTCAAAAAATTTTTAATGTCTTCATATTCTTCCTATAAAATTATAGGCTCATCTTTAGCTCTTTATGTTTACCAAGTGACATTTCAGAGTGAGATTTTTTTGCACTTGACCTACCATGTAAAATATAACATACATAGTGAAAAATCCATTTCTGCTTCAGAACTCTATCTTTTTTTTTTTTTTAAGTGACATTTTCTTTCTTTTTTAATAGGTCAGGAGAGTGATTTCCTTGCTGTACTCTATGACTATCCTTCAGCAGACATAAGCCAACCTATATTTCATGTAGGGGAAAAACTACGTGTGCTGTCAGAGTAAGTTGATCCATTCTTTTAAAATTAGGTTTTGTTACAAATGATGCAAAGCTCTACTTTATGCACCTAGCCCAAAATGGATGCAGTTCAGCAAAACTGAGTTCAGAATTTGCAAGGAAGGATGCTTACCCATGGTGTAAATTTCCCTATAGTATAAGGATTCAAGATTCCAGACTGTTGGATTCCTCTGACATGGTTTCTGAACCTGGATTCAGACTCCATTCTAAAGTAGGACTCAAAACAGAATTCTGCTTTGAAAAATTATTTTGAGAAACTATCTCCCCCCAGTGTCAGTGGAAAATAGAGTGGGAGCAAAACCAGTCTTAATCACATAGAAAAGGAAAATTATTCTGAGTTTCTCTATGTCAAGACTATCATTTTCTCTCTTACCCTTTGCATCCAATTCCTTTATGATTATGAATTTTACCGTAGATTTAAGGCAACTCTAACAAAAGTAAAATAAAAAATAGCGCTTTTTTCCATCTTAAATTTTTTAATTGATTTTGCATTTTCTTAGGGCTGTCTCTTAT